GGTAGGAATTAGAATCAAACTTATGGGAAAGGAGACCCCTTGAACATCAATCAGCGTGATGAGAACTATTGAAAACAAAAGAAAGAATCTTTGGAAAAAAATTATCTAAGGAGAATTAATTTATTTTAGTCTGACCCCAGTCCCATCCGCTAACATGGAGGAGGCGGGGTTTTTGACCTATACTGCAGCCAGACACCAGGGGGCGATAGAGACGTTTTGGCTTCATTTTTGGGGAGCTGTCGCGTCGTCCATGTTTTCTACAGTCAATGGTTCTGACTGAGAAATGTCTGAAAGATTAAAACGTACAGCTCTGCTATCGCTTCCAACATAAATGAAGACAGAAAACTAAACAGCAGTGACGTTTGTAGGGTTACTGAAGTTGGGCTAGCTGGAATATAATGATGTGCTACGTGATCGCTAGCGACACAACTATGTTAGCATAACATAAACACATTGAAGCTGGAGGATGAACGCTAAGTTTTTTCCACTCTGTAAAAGTTAACGCGAAGGTTCCCGATGGTTAGAGACAAATGTAATCGCATGGATTGCACTGAACCCTCATCAAAAATGGTCTCAGTAGAACGGTGGACTGAAAATCCAAAATTGAACTTTTTGGCCAAAATAACTATCAGTATGTACAGAGTTAGTCAGGAGAGTGAGTGTCCACAGGTGTCTATAAAATGCTGGAGGCTCTGTCATGGTTTGGGATTCGGTGTCAGAGATCTTGTCACAACTGATGGATTTATGAACACAGAAAATTACCATCAGAATTTGGATCCAGCATAAAAAAGAATTTTGCCCAGTACTCACACCATATATACTGTAAGAAAGCATCATTTCATTGGATGCTTCAGCAGATGATGAGTTCTTTCCATCTGTTTGTAATATCTCTCCTCGCTGGCTGGAATACTGGAATAAATATTTTTTCCACAGGACAGATTTGTCCAAAACTTCTGTGAAGCAACTGCATTCAATAATTGTTCATTAATGATTTAATAAGTCATTCGTTCAGAGCAAAAGGTTTGCAGTAAAGTGGAATAAAACACAGTATTTATTTCAAATAATAGCTAAGAATTTAACCCATTGTCAAGACTTCCAACTCCCTGCTCTGAGTTAACCGTGATTATCAAACAAAGTCTTTTTATAAGGCCTTTCTTATAAAAGGCCCTATAAAAAGCATTTTACTAGTCCGTAAGGACCCCAAAGCGCTTTACACATCCAGTCATCCAATCATTCACACACACATTCACACACTGGTGATGGCAAGCTACATTGTAGCCACAGCCACCCTGGGGCGCACTGACAGAGGCGAGGCTGCTGGACACTGGCGGCACCGGGTCCTCTGACCACCACCAGTAGGCAACGGGTGAAGTGTCTTGCCCAAGGACACAACGACCGAGACTATCCAATAAATTGGCCATAGGTGTTAATGTAACAACATCTGTATCTCTGTGTTAGCTCTGCATCAGATTGGCAATCTAACCAGAGTATAGCTAGCCTCTCGCCCTATGGTAGCTGGGATGGGCAAGTTCTTAACAAAAATATCAATAACTTTTTCTCCAAACAGACAAAGACAACCTCTTCGTTCCATCCACCATGCACTTTGAGATTGTGTATCTACGCCCAGACCAGCCTGCCGTGGTTCCCTGCCGTGTGACCGAGCCACAGGCCAAGACGTCCCTGCACAGAGAGGTCCCCCCGGTGGAAATCACAGCAAATATGACCCAGATGGCATATGATCCCACCAAGGGCTTCATCCTGCAAAACCCGAGGCCAGAGCACCAGGGTGTCTTCTACTGCAAGGCTGAGACCATGGACACCCCTCAGATCTCCACAAAGTACCAGCTGCTTTATGTGGAGGGTGAGCACAAATCAATCACATGACACCTCATGAATAAATAGAGTAATGGAAGATATGAACATGCTGCATGTAGAAACACTAACTATTGCTCTGTGGAACTAACTGCTACGCATAACCATTTATCTTACTGACTCTAAGTGGCGACAATCAACTTTTCGCAATGTTATGAATCAAGCGCTGGTTACTTCTACGATGTCTACTTTTTAATTGGCTTCCAGGAAAGGGTTGTATTTCAAAAATGTCAAGAGCCTCTTTAATCCTCACTGCTGTGCTTGGTTAATGTGGACGCCTGCCAACTAAAGTGGAAAGAGTTTGGATTTTGCAAAAGGGAGACAGATTTATGCAATGGAACTATTGTGTGGTTTAGATAAAGTTAAGCTGCTGTGCCACGGTCGACTGGCAGGTGGAGAAAAATCCAGATTCAAGTATGGTTCAACTGTTTGAATACCATCAAATATTTATATATATTTATGTTTTGTATTATATATATATATATATATATATATATATATTAATGTTATGTCTTTAATACTTTAAGGAGATGGAACTTATCTTTCTCTCGATGACAGTTCCCAGTGGGCCACCGTTTGTGAGCCTTGAAGCCTCCCCAGACTCTGTGAGAGGAGGCGAAAACGTCAATGTAACCTGCACAGTGCTGGGAGAGCCAGACGTGGACGTGAGCTTCACTTGGACTTATCCTGGTCAGGTAAGAGAAATCCTGGACTAAAAGTCAGACCCGATTACAGGTATTAGAAATGAAAAAGATCATCGTAGTCCTTAAATGGGTAGTTAGCTTTTAAGAATGAATCAATATGTTTTTAAAAGGCCCTTAAAATGTACTTTTTATAACAATAATTCTGTCCAACTTTTTACTATTTAGAAAAACAAAAAAGGAGTCTACAGGACAGAGCTGAGGTTGAAATTTAGACTTCATATATTTAGTTTTGTTTTTTTTTAAGTTTAATAATGCAACACGGTGGTTAGCACTGTTGCTGCACATCAAGAAGGTCCTGAGTTCTATTCCACCATCAGGCTGGGGTCTTTCTGTGTGGAGTTTGCATGTTCTCCCCGTGTTTGCGTGGGTTCCCTCCGGGTTCTCCGGCTTCCTCCCACAGTCCAAAGACATGCAGCTTGTGGGGATAGGTTAATTGGATAATCCAAATTGCCACTAGGTGTGAATGTGCGAGTAAATGTGAGTTGGTGTGGTTGTCTGTCCCTGTGACAGACTGGCGACCTGTCCAGAGTGTACCCCGCCTCTCGCCCTATGACAGCTGGGATAGGCTCCAGCGCCTCCCGCAACCCTGAAAAGGATAAGCGGAAGCAAATGGATGGATAGTTTAATAATGGTTTTAAAAGAGAAGGTATTATTTAGTTGCGTGTTTTTATGATTCATTAGCCTTGTTGTCATAAAAGTTACTCACTGCATTTGAGTATTTCGCAGATGCCCTAAAAAACAAAAACAAAACCCAATTGTGGTATATGTGATGTTCTCCTTAAAAGCTGAAGGTTAGGAGTAAAAGATTCTGTTGCCACCTTTAAAAATGGATTTTTCTATTTTCTTTTGATAAAAGTAAAATGAGTTTGTTACAATTATGCTCTTTATTGTTGCTGATAACAGTGGGAGGAAATCATGTGTTCATGTTGTGTAGGGCTCCCGACCCATTCACATCCGGACTTCCTGGAGGCTGGTTAACAGAGGTATGGGCTACACCACGCGCATCACCCAGAGCATCCTGACGGTAGAGGACTTGGAAACCATCGACTTTGGAGAATACATGTGTAAAGCCAAGAGCCAGCATGGCGAGACAATCGTGGGGACCACCATCATCTCCAAATAGCCCCAAACAACCTGACCTGCTGGCTCCATCTGATATTCAAGAGTTTTTGACACATTGGTGTTTCTTTTTTTATCTATGAAATACATGAAATCAGTATGTATATAAATAAAAATACATTTTTGCCAAGTTGAAAAGTTCATGTCATTAAAAGCAAGCTATGGACGACAGTCATTCACATACATCTATTAAAACAAATATTTAGAGGTTTCATTTTGCAGCACAACAGTGAGTCTAAGCATGCAAATACCTGAAGTCCAAAACAGTAAAGAGCCAATCAGCACACTCCAAACTACTCAAGATCTCAGGAACATCAGATAAAAGAAAAGTTGTTTCATAACGTGCGTCAAGGTATCCCCAGAAGTCAACAAAACTGGAAAACACAATTTTCTTAACTCTAGAATAACATAAATGAAGGTAATAGCACAAGCTCTGGGGGGAGGAGTCCTCATCATTTGGGGCTGTCATGACAACACCACATGGCTGCTGTCACTTCTGGCAGAGGGCTGTGTTGGACACCAAATCAAACATCCCTGACTAATCAGAGTTAGGCTTCATTTAAACAGAGTAATGAAGCTGTAAGAAAAAGAAAACAAAACAAAGGAGAGTGGCAGGAGTCAGAGTCCCGCTCTGTCTGAAGAGGAGCTGTGTGCCAGGCGAATGTCTTAATGTGCTCCGTATGTGGAATGTGATCTGAGGCCTGCAGCTTATTTTGATCCAGTGCAACACTTGCTGATATTTCCACTTTGCTGAAAAGTTACTGGTGGTTAGAATTTTGAAATATACTTTGGATTAGGATTATGAATGAATGCTTGTGGTTTATAAAAGCATTAACAGGTTGGATCCAGTATATACACTGTATAGCATTTCAGTCAACTAGAGTGAGGGAAATTTGGCATTTAAACATGACAAAAAAACACAACTTCAATATCTCCTTAGGAAAAGCTCACGAGTAGAGCTTCATCATAAAATGTGGGTACCACTTTTGACTGACAATCCATTTCACAGCTTCAGTTTAATACAAGACTTTATTAATAGATTATTTCAAACAGGATCAGCACATCTATTATATAAATTCCACACAAAATACTCAGAAATTTCCAAGATACAGTCTCTGACACAGATGAGCAAAGCCGCCTCTGGTCAGCTCTTTGCACAGACGCTGACTTTAAAGCTGTGTTAGGAGGCTTTGGTATGGGCTACACATGCAAAGAGACTTGGACTGGTCCCTCGGTCAAATAAACATTGAAACAAAACAATACAAGGCCACAAATGATCCAGAACCCAACTATTACCAAAAAAAAAAAAAAAAAAAATAGCCTTTAAAAATAACATAACCAAGGAAATTCTGAACATACTTATTAGTTTTATTGAAAGAAAATAGTAATTTAAAAAAAAAAAGAAAGAAAAAAATTGGCATAAGTTTAATGTTTTTTTTCCTCTTTTTCCTGCAAATGTACACATGCATGCATTTGACTGCATGTACTGTGTGTGTATGCCGAGCTTCAGCAAAGATAAGCCTCTACAAATAAAGTGTTTCATTACATAGAAGTCCTGAGATTTCCTCTTTCCTCCATCCAAAGAATCAAATTCTAAAGGCAAACATCGTGGCCTTCCTTATTAAGTGCTTCTGTGCAGTGTTGTTTTTCCTGTATTTCTGCAGTGTCAGAGTTCATCTCATTCTGAATGAGCCAAGGTCAGGCTGATGTTTTGCTAAATGCTATGGAAACAAAGATGGCTCTTAAGTCCAGAGGGATAACTCAAATGCAGTGTTCTGCTTCCTGGAAGCAGGAGCCCGTTGTTATCTGGGTGACAGGGGAGGGCTGGAGAAGCAGCCAGAGCTGCGAGGTGATTGGAAGTTGAAGGAGTGGGAGGGAGAGGTGGAGGTGGGAGACACCTTGCGTGGGCTACTCAAGTCTCCATTATGGAGCTTCCACATCAGCTCCTCGTTCTCCATGGACAGACGCTTGTTCACCTTGGACTCCTTATGAAGAGACTCCTGCAGCATGGCCTGCTCTGTGGACAGCTGCCTGCGGTGCATCAACACAGATTCAGAGACGAGCCGAGGCCTGAACAAAGCATTTCATTGTATACAGTTTTTTTTACTGGGGTGTACTGTGACAGTCACTTGTGCTGCAAGGCTAACCTGCTCCAAATATGCAGGTACCACGTATGAAAACAACACCTACTGGCCAATGAGTTCTGTGGAAATGGGGTCAGCATTCCGGACAGATTCTCTTGACCTCCGTATGCTGAGAGGAGGAGGAGGATCTAAAATTCTTCAGCAGTATCTCATGTCTTTGTGTTTCTCTGACAAGTTTCATTAATAAACACATTCTTACACTTGATTCCTTCCAATTTTACAGTTTTAGAAACATTAATATATTAACCTAAGACATCCTCGGACATCTGCGCTGCACTTTATATCACAACTGACTTTATGTCAAATTTGGACACAGACTAAAGGCCTTTACACACCAGAAGCACAAAATCTGTATAAATATTTTATGTTTCAATAATATTATTTTGGACACACCTATTATTATTTTTTCCAAACCAAGCTTGATTTTTCAGATTTTCTGGATCCAAATCAACAGATGTGACCAATCAGATCACTGTACTTGGCAGCAAAGTGCATTCACAACTCAAATATGCAACGATAGGAAAATAGTAGATGCACAGATAGATAGTGTCTGGGTCAGTCGACTCTATAAAATAAAGTCTCTGCTTACTCGGATGTGCCCCCAGCTCTGAAAACAAGAGCTCAAACTGACATCCTGAAATATGTACGCGAGCAGGCGTGATGCAGCTTCATCTCCTGGATGAAACCATGAAATTATCACTGCTGCCTTCTTCTGAGAATTACTTTACTAATTTAGCAGGCCTCTTCCAGTGTTAATGACCAAAGTACACACTTTAATTTAACACACACACACACACACACCTGAAGTGTGTGTGTTTTCTATATTTGGATGAGTTTGAATCTCAGTAACTTCCATCTGAAGGCGTAAAGGTCAGTTTCGCAGCCCTATTTGACAAAACGTTGGAACGCTGTGGAGGCCCGGTGAGTTGCGTTCACAGACAGTCATTTCTAGACATGCTCGTGAGCCAATGCAGCGACTTCCATCACAGAATCAGGCCTGTTTTTAATGCTGTGCTCACCGACGGCCTCAGCCATACAATATTCCTTTTTGGCATTTTCCTTTGCGTGGCAACAAAGATAAGACAAAGCATCCCAAATTTTATTTGGAATTAGGGTCGTTAAAGCAATTCCAAAAAAAACTGTTCTACAACCCCACTGACCTCCTCAGATGGAAAAGGGAACATGAGTCACTTTTCAATACATATTTGGAATCTTTGTGAGTAGCTGCGGCACCAGGATGGTGGCGTGATCGATAGTTTTTGGAATAAAGTGGAGGTGCATTAGAGGTTAGGAATTATATTGGCACACAGAAAAAAGCTTGGTGTTCATTACACTTAATGAATGCAGTAATTTAAAAAGAGTCTGAGCTGAGGCAGCTGTTAGGCAGCTTCACTCTGTGGAATTAATCACTATGAACCCATATGGTGGACTCTTACCTTGAAAGAGCAGCGTGTTTTTCCATGCGGGCTTTGAGGTCTTCGTTCTCTTGCTGGACTTTTTTAAGGCTCTCGTCTAACTTTACATTTTTCTCTGTCTGTAAAAAAAAAAAAAAAAAAAAGAAAAAAAAAGAATGAAAAGAGCGAGTTTAAAAGGGAAAGTCTCAGCAGCAGTGCTGAACTTTAAGTTTCTTTATCGTCTGACCAGTTTGTCTATCTCCATGAGCTTCTTCTCCTGTTGGTGGACCTGTGTGTTTTTGATATCCAGCACCACTTTGAGACTTTGTAGCTCCTGCTCCAGATACAGAGTGTGAGGGTCCTTCTGTGAGTGAAAAAAAGTAGAGGGAAATTGCTTAGGATCCTTTATGAAGATAGATAGATAAATAAATAAATAAATAAATAAAACAGACCATATATGGGTGGGGCGGTGGTTAATGAAGCACTCCATTGCTGATCATGTGTCATTTTATTAAACTGCTGCTCGTGCTATTTTTTTCTGAATAAGTGTATTAATAACAAATATGGAGTGACGGGTAATGTGAGGTAGTTAGCCTAAATAACTATGCTGGGGGACAATACAGAGTACAGTTAGAGCCACTTTACATTAATGAGGAGTGGCGGCCTTAATGTACAACAGCACTGCAGGAAAATTAACTCTGGGCGGGGGAATCTAGTGCATATGTAGCAGAAGTCAACTCATTTCAATTCACACCTATTCATACAGTAGAGAAGAGTTAATGAGGGTTAATTACTGAACAAACACAACTCATTGCAGACTCGAGAATGAAATCCTCTAAGAAAATATGAAGACATTTTTGCATCTGTTCCCATTTTATCTTAAATCTATGTTGCACCTTTCATGCTCAGGGGGAAACGACACTAGAGTCACAAGATGCTTCTGTATCAGATCTGAGCTATAATAAGCACAGAGTACCTGACTGTTTTCAGCCAGCTCTTTCCTCTTCCTCTCCTCAGCAGTTAGCCTCTCATTTAGAGCACTATTCTCCGAGGTCAGCTCCTCAATTTGACTCTGTGGATGTACAGCACAACAAAGTCTGAGCAAACCATTACAAAGTAAGCTACAGTCCTGTTGTAAGATGACTTAAAAAAGCAGAAGAGGAAGCTCACAGAGAGAGAGGCTTCAGCATCTTTTAAGGTTTTGTCCAAAGCCTCCAGCTCCTGGTTGTGGACTTTCCTGAGCTCTGAAAGGTTTGCAGATTTCAGTATCACAAAATGAAATGAACACAATGAAAATGCATGGAATAAAAACAAAGACAAATGTTCCAATATTTAATGCCTGCATTATGCAGGTGATGAATATATTTGGATTGTTCTCTCGCCTTCCAGTGACATCTCATACTGCTGTTTAACACACTGCAGCTGTTCTTCATGGCTTTTCTCAAGGTCCAACTTCATGGCTTCATGATTTGCTTTAAGCTCTTCAATCTTTAAACAGAACAAAAGTCAGCTAATTTTCCCCACAGGATTAAAAAAAATTGACTACTAGACAACGTAGGCTGTAAATCATCTTAAAATTTCCCAAAATAAGAATCAGAAGGTGCTGTAGAGACAAA